TGGAATGCAACCCTGGTCCTTTCATCAGACGGGAAGCGATAGAACGAGCAAGTGGTATGATCACTTTTGTGATTACAACCTGGTACAAAGCACACAGGCATCTTGTCAAAGTGAACCAACCACTTGGAGCATTATCGCCTGTGACATCACTTACGCGACCCAGAATGGGATTTGGGATTTGTAGTCTTTGTAGTCGCGTATTTTTCATAGTCTTATATTTCAACAGTTTTACGACAAAATGTGACTTTTTTGACATGGAAATGATTGTTTAAGATTGAAAAACATCATCAATCAATCAATCAATCAATCAATCAATCAATCAATCAATCAATCAATCAATGTTTATTTATATAGCCCAATATCACAAATGTTACATTTGTCTCAGTGGACTACAAACTACAGTTTGTACAAAATATCAGTATGACAATACGACACCCTCTGTCCTTAGACCCTCACATCGTACAAGGAAAAACTTCAGAAGAAAACCCACAGTTTAAAGGGAAAAATGGGAGAAACCTCAGGGAGAGCAACAGAGGAGGGATCCCTCTCCCAGGACGGACAGACGTGCAATAGATGCCGTGTGTAAATTGAAAAGATAATACATTTGCAACATAGGTAGTCCAAATGTTTGGAAATGCATGTGTGTATAATAGGAAGATGAATCCACGAGGATATCCATCCAGGACCTATGATCCAGGACCACAGTGACGACTCAAGATCCAGGACAGAGGAGCGCAGGATCATCCATGACTCCGGATCCCGGCGTATACAGACACCAAAAAGAAAGACATTTGGGGAAGCTGGGTTAATCGGAACATGAGAGTACACAAGTATAGACAGAGAGAAGGAAGAAGTAAGATGTCCCCCGACAAACTAAGCCTATATCAGCAAAACTAGGGGCTGAATCTAATCAGCCCTAACTATAAGCTTTATCAAAAAGGAAGGTCTTAAGCGCACTCTTAAAAACGGATAGGGTGTCTGCCGCCCGAACACAAACTGGAAGCTGATTCCACAAATGTGGAGCTTGATAAGAAAAGGCTCTGGCTCCCATTGTACTTTTAGAGACTCTACGAACAACCAACAACCCTGCATTCTTGGAACGCAATGCCCTAGTAGGACAGTAGGGTATAATGAGTTCTTTAAGGTAAGATGGCGCCTGCCCATTAAGGGCTTTGTAGGCGAGAAGAAGAATTTTAAATTCTATCCTGTGTTCTATAGGGAGCCAGTGTAAGGCAGCCAGAACAGGAGTAATGTTGTCCCTTTTCCTAACTCTGGTTAGTACACGAGCTGCAGCATTTTGAATCAGCTGAAGCGACTTGACTGACTTCTTGGTACACCCCTGATAATAAAGAGTGACAATAATCCAGCCTTGAAGTAACAAATGCATGGACTAGTTTCTCTGCATCGTTTTGAGGCAAGATATGCCTGATTTTTGCAATTTACGTAGATGGAAGTAGGCGGTCCTTGAAATTGATTTTATGTGGGCGTTAAAGGATAAATCCTGATCAAATATAACACCAAGATTCCTTACAGTCTCACTGGAGGCCAAATTAATGCCATCCATAGTTAATATATCCTTAGATAATTTGTTTCGTAGATTCTTCGGGCCAAGTACAATAACTTCAGTTTTGGTCGTGTTTAACATCAAAAAGTTTAAGGTCATCCACGTTTTTAAGTCCTTAAAGCAGTCTTGAATTTTATTTAGATGATTAATTTCATCAGGCTTGATTGATAAATATAGTTGAGTATCATCCGCATTACAATGAAAATGTACAGAATGATTCCTTATAATATTGCCTAACGGAAGCATATATAATGTGAACAAAATAGGTCCGAGCACTGAGCCCTGTGGCACTCCATGGCTAACTTTGGTTTGCGTGGAAGATTCATCATTGACACGTACAAACTGAGAGCGTTCAGATAGATAGGACCTAAACCAGTCTAAAGCAGTTCCCTGTATGCCAACTAAGTGCTCTAGTCTTTGCAATAGGATATCATGGTCGATAGTATCAAATGCAGCACTGAGATCGAGCAAAACAAGAATAGAGACACGTCCCTTGTCAGAGGCTATTAGAATGTCATTTGTGACTTTAACCAGAGCTGTCTCTGTGCTATGATGTGTTCTAAAGCCAGACTGAAAATCTTCAAATAAATCATTGTTTTTTAAGTAATCACACAACTGTTTTGCGACCGCTTTCTCAAGAATTTTTGAGAGGAACGGAAGATTGGAAATAGGTCTATAATTGGCTAAAACCTCTGGATCGAGGTTGTGCTTTTTAAGAAGCGGTTTTATCACTGCTACTTTGAATGATTGTGGAACATAGCCTGATAATAAAGACATATTCATAATATTTAATAAATAAGTGCTAATTAATGGAAAAACTTCCTTCAACAGCTTAGTTGGAATTGGGTCTAACATACACGTTGATGGTTTAGAAGAGAGAATCATTGAATTTAATTGTTCAAGGTTTATGGCTGAAACGCATTCTAGTTTACTATCTAGTGTAATATTAGAACTTACGTTTCCGGGAGCTGTTGATAACACTATACTGGTCAAAGGCAAGAGGTCATTAATTTTGTTTCTAAGAGTAACAATTTTATCATTAAAAAAGCACATAAAATCATTACTACTGAGTGCTATGGGAATAGAAGGCTCAATTGAGCTGTGGCTTTCTGTCAGCCTGGCTACAGTGCTGAAAAGAAATCTTGCATTATTCTTATTCTCATCTATTAATGAAGAGTAGTAGGCTGCTCTCGCTTTACGCAGTGCTTTCTTATATTCATTGAGAGTAATATGCCAAATTAAACGAGATTCTTCAAGTTTAGTGGAACGCCATATCCTTTCAAGTTGTCTCGACTTTTGCTTTATTTTGCGGGTTTCGGCATTGCCATGGAGCTAATCTATGTTGTTTTATTTTCTTCTTTTTCAAAGGAGCAACAGAGTCTAATTTTATTCGCAGCGCATCTGTAGCACTATCAACAACATGATCAATTTGGGGTGGTGTACATTTTGTATAAGTTTCCTCCCTTACATGCAGACATGCTATCGAGTTAAGTATTGGTGGAATCTCTTCCTTAAATTTGGCTATAGCACTAACAGATAGGTTTCTGCTGCAGGAGCTTTTGACTAATGCTTTGTAGTCTCGTAACAGTACTTCAAAAGTTACTAAGAAATGGTCGGATAAAGCAGGATTATGCGGTTCGACTAATAGTTGCTCAATTTCAATACCATAAGTCAGAACAAGGTCGAGAGTGTGATTATAGCAGTGGGTTGGTTTATTTACACTCTGACAAAAACCAACAGAATCTAATATAGAGTTAAATGCAACAGTAAGGCTATTTTTATCATCGTCAACATGAATATTAAAGTCACCTACGATAATTATTTTATCTGTTTTAAGTACCAAAGTTGATAAAAACTCAGAGAATTCAGATAAGAATTCTGAATAAGGACCTGGTGCACGGTACACTGTAACAAATAAGATTGGCTGCAAAGTTTTCCAGGTCGGATGCGTAAGACTAAAAACGAGACTTTCAAAGGAGGTATAATTTAATTTTGGTTTAGTATTGATAAGTAAACTTCATATTTGTAGTTCGTGGCACAATTCAAACTGGATCAAAAGATACGTTTTCTCTCTCCATTGAATTCAATGTAGCCTATAATGTTTCGCTTCCGGGGTTCCATGGACCGCAAGTAGATCGGCGTGACTTCGCCTCTCTATAGGTCATGTGCGCGTTTGTGTGTGTTGGAGGAGGGGCTCTGAAGTGGCAGATTTGTTCCGGTTGTGTATTTTCGAATTCTAGCGCACTCGAGCTGGTTTCTCCAAAATTACCTACCCCACCTTTAAGGTCAGTGCATTTTCACTTTCTTTTATTTTTATATTTAACATTATCGAAGAAATTGTTTTGCAATAAGTGGAACATACATTTATTTGTGGCATGTTTCTCCAACTTGGCACCTGTGCTCATTAATACAATTATCAGCTCATAGTCTTTATAAATGCGTAAATTGTACTCTGAGGGTTCCATGGTTGCTATGCTGGGTCTCCAGGTTCATGCTCTTAGTTTGAACCAAAACAAACTCTCTGACGGTCAGAAAAACAACAAAACGGAATATTTCCACTCGACAATTTCCCTGAAAATAAACCATCAACCTGCCATTTTCACTTCTGGACCTCTTTCTAAGCCCTACTATCACTCACTTCGAGACATTTTTCATGGCAGATGTGAGCATTTTTTCTGTTTTTAACCTATGTTGTTATCAATGTGTTTTGCCGTGAAGACTTCTCAGAATGCACCGGTATGACTAATATTAATATTAAAGGTCCCATGTCATGCTTTTCCGGTTATTACCCGTCCCCTTGTTTGTTACTGTGTGAAGGTTTTTCTGCATGTAAACGGTCTGCAAAGTCACAAACCCTCAAAGTACACCGTGTAGCGAGTAAAACTCTAACACTGAAAATACCTGTATATCTATGCTGCCCCAGAACGCCTCATTGGAGATTTCTCTTTTTCTTCCTGGGTACAGTGATGTGCCCATATCCAAATGGACCAATCCATGGAGCCATTACGTTACGTCCGCGGAGCAGTTACGTTACCCTCCAACAAAGCTCCAACAAGCCGTTTAGGACAGAGAGTGAATAATAATAATAATAATAATTCATTTATTTTATATAGGCGCCTTTCAAGGCTCTCAAGGTCGCCGTACAAACACATAAAAAACAAGATACACAGTACCTAACACCAGCATAAGAAACATAAACAAGACAATAACAAGACATACTTTACAGAGATGCTGTATGAGAAACCAATGTGAGTTTGGAAAATTGCACAGTATAAATATATTCTAGTAGACCTCAACAATGGAATTATGATCAGTAGAAATGGCCATGACCATGGGACCTTTAATGCATTGTGATACTGATCCTTTTGATTCAAGTCATTATGGTATAACACATGTGGAGCAGTGGTCTGACTGTTGTTTTTATTTTCACCTTCAGATGGCCCGGCACTACAAGTGGACAGCTGTCCTCCTGCCAGACCCCGCCCGTCCCAGCCTCCCCCGGCTCGTCCTGTGCAGGATCCCATCTCTGCCTGGCTCCCCAGCTGAACCTGCCCCTGAACATAACTCTTCTCCTTGTTCCCCCTTTAGAGCCATCTGCAGCTCCTCCCCTGGCTCCCACCATGGCCCCCCAACTGGCCCCGCCCCTGAGCGGAAGAGGATGAAGAACCTGAGGATTCTGATGAAGAGGAGGGAGCAGTCTGGCAGCAGGTGGAGCGAGAGAGTCGCTGAAGATCCAGGTAAGTCTCACCTTGGCTCTTCAGGTAGGTCACCTCTTGGCTCCTTCACTAGGACCTCCCCCACTTCTGGTTCCCCTCATGGCTCCCTTCTTGACTCTGGCAGCTCTCCGTGCTCTTCCTCTCGCTCCTCCTCACGCTTTTCCTCTAGCTCCTCCTCTCGCTCCTCCTCACGCTTTTCCTCTAGCTCCTCCTCTCGCTCCTTCTCTCTGTCTTTTTCTAGCTCCTCCTCCTCTCGCTCTTCCTCTAACTCTTCTTCTAGCTCTTCCTCTTGCTTCTGGTCTCTTGTGCCGACAGCTCATCCGACCAGGATCACCCTCAGAAGGCGGCAGAGGACCAGCTCCTCTCTCCAGAGCCCCTGTGAGCTTCTTGAACCTGCTGCACCCTGGGAGGCTCAGCCGGTAGGGAACGTCCCTGTGAAGAAGAGCATCCGGCTTCTGATGAAGAAGAGGACCCAGGTGGGGTCACAGTAAAAAGTGTGTCACATTAAAAAGATATAAATGAAATTGTTAAATGTTATTTCCACATTTCAGGGTAATGTGTTTATTCTTAAACTTGTTAACTATTTAATGTAATTTGACATTTGCTTATAGAGAGGAGAGGAGGTGGGAGGCAGAATTAAGTGTGACCTTTCATGCAAAAAAGGTAAGAACCAAGTTATCTAATATTATTACCGGATTTCAGGAAGTTCAGCTCATCTGTTTACAAGTTATTTGAAGACCTACAGTACATATTTTTCCTTTTTGTTTTTAGAGAGAGGAGAGGAGATGAGAGGGCAGTATGAAGCTCAAGCTCTCGTGCAAAAGGTAAATATCAATGTATTTAATGTTTAAATCAGAATTAATGTAATGATGAATAACTCATCTGTTCACTTTTATTCTCTGAAGTCTTTTTGTGTGAGGAGAGAGATGAGGAAAGAAGCTAAAAAGCTGAGTCGGGATATGTAATGAGAAGAAGAGAAGATGGAAGTGCAATATAAAGTGAAAACATATCATTAATTGACTTATGCTATGTGATGGATTTGGTGTGTACTTACTTAGCCAGTCATGATTAAATTGTGAATAAAGTGTTTTAAATAAATTGTCAAAACTGGAGGAAATGTCTAATTTTTTGTATCTATGTTTTTGTTTGCATTTCAAAGGTTCTATAATCCTCATATGCACAAAGCTACAGTGTAGAAATAGCAATGACATTCTTCTGACCTGAGCTCCTCCAACAATGCAACATATATAATAAAATACATACAAGTAGTGCAAAAAGTCTATATGTAAATAGAATATGATATGTACAAGAACAGATATTATTATTATTATATTGATATTGTGTGTTGGAGAATTAAATGTCCGATGTGAGGTTTATGAAGGTTAATTCTTGAGTTGGGTAGGAGTAACCTGACACATTAAGCCTAAAAAGTCATTTCCAGTGTTCAAAAGACACCAAAATCATACTCTGGGTTATTGAATATTGAATTCACAATAATAATATAAATACATAAGGACCATTTTTTTTACGTGTTATGTGTGTATAGAAGGCACCCATAGAAAAATAGTGATCTCTCTGTACGGTCCGTACAGAGAGATCACTATTTTCTATGGAGTGGAATACATCTAAATTGTCCTTTAGAAAAAGGCGTTTCGATTTTGTTTGACCCTACGTAATACCCGTAGTTCCATGCTATCAATGCGGAAGCGACTATGAACGGCTACAGCGCCAACTGGTATTAGTGTTTTTATTGTTAATTTCAGCCATTAATATATAGTCTAAAGTCCGTTTATTAAAAACCGAATTAGGTGGCTTTGTAATACGTTGTTTTACAGTACTTCCATCTTAAAATGGGATGTTATGGCTTTCTACCTTCCCCTATATTTGGGTAAAGTGTGTGGAAAGCGTCATGTTTGCTAGCTAGCATCTTTACAAACAAACCCGTCCCTTTAAGTGTCTGTCAAACAGCAACATGAAAGTTCGCTCGTCCGTGTTTGCCTCGTTCATTTTAATACTTGAAGGGATTGGCGTGGCCCTCTTTCTACGGGGTTTTTTCCCTGTCCCTCTCAAGTCTTCCATCTCATCCAAGAACAAGCTGTCAGACCTTCCCGTGGAGCCGCTGACAGGTGAGCTCACACACACTCACCTGCGTGTGTGCATGTGTGTTGGTCATCTGTCAAAACTCTTAAACTTCATTTTTTATTACAGGAAGTTCTCCCAACTCCTCCCGCCTCCCACAGCCCCTGTTTAAGAGGGTGGTTATAATGTTAGTGGATGCTCTGCGGGAGGACTTTGTGTTTGGACCCAATGGCCGCATGTACATGCCCTACACCCGACACCTGGTGGAGAGGGGCTCCTCATACAGCTTCGTGGCCAAGGCAAGACCCCCCACCGTCACCATGCCCAGGATCAAGGTAAGGAGTTTGTGGGACACTCGGGCAGTGTTGGAAGAAGTACTCATATCCTTTACTTGAGTACAAGTGCAAATATCATTGGCGTCACTTTGTTAGAAAAAGTGGTGGGGACACTTTATTCCGATTTAAAAAAAAACACTACTGCATTAAGCGCCCCCTCAAACAATACATACATATATGTGTACATCCATATGCTTGCAATGCTTTTTTTGACAACTAGTACAGTAACTATGCTACGCTGCTGCAAAGCGGGAGCAACAATTGCTTTACTATTCTCTATTCAGTTATTCATAATATTAAACGTGTAGCAGGTCCAAACTGCACCACTTGGGTTACCAGAAATACACCCAAAAAGTGTGAACACTCCTCCAGATTGCACATTTTCTCTTGTGTAAATAAAGCTTTCTCAAAGTGTACAATGCTTTGTGCATGCTATTTTCAGAACATTTAAACAAATGATCCTAATGCAAAGTGCTGGGGACACAATTGGCCACTTCCAAAAGTGTCCCCAGCATCCCCAGTATAAATGGCGCCTATGGCAAATACTAAAATATTAATTACAATTAAAAGTAAGTAAGTATTATCATTAAAATGTACTCAAAGCGAAAAAAGTAAAAATACTAATTTAGCACAATGAGTGTGGGAGAGAAACTCCATTACCATTTATGGCCAAGAAACATAGATGCATACAAAACTACACAAAACGCTATAATTGTAATTAATTGTTACTACATTACATTACATTACATTGCATTTAGCTGACGCTTTTATCCAAAGCGACTTACAATAAGTACATTCGACCAGGAAGACACAACCTTGAAGAAAACAGAATCATATAAGTACATCAGGTTTCATAGAGCCAAACATTTCAAGTGCTACTCAACTGGCTTTAGGTAAGCCAGTCCTTTATTAGTATATAAGTGCTTTGTTAATAGATCTATCGCTCGAGGTGGAGTCGAAAGAGATGAGTTTTCAGTCTGCGCCGGAAGATGTGCAAGCTATCTGCTGTCCTGATGTCAATGGGGAGCTCATTCCACCATCTTGGAGCCAGGACAGCAAACCCACGTGTTTTTGCCGATGGGAACTTGGGTCCCCCTCGCAGCGAGGGCGCAGCGAGTCGTTTGGCTGATGCAGAGCGTAGTGCACGCGCTGGGGTGTACGGTTTAACCATGTCCTGGATGTACGAAGGGCCAGATCCATTCGCAGCATGGTAAGCAAGTACCAGTGTCTTGAAGTGGATTCTAGCAGTTACCGGAAGCCAGTGAAGGGAGCGGAGGAGCGGAGTGGTGTGGGAGAATTTAGGAAGGTTGAAGACCAGACGAGCCGCTGCATTCTGGATGAGCTGCAGAGGTCGGATGGCACATGCAGGTAGACCAGCCAGGAGGGAGTTGCAGTAGTCTAGGTGTGAGATGACGAGAGCCTGGACCAGAACCTGAGTCGCTTTCTGAGTCAGCTGGGGACGTATCTTCCTGATGTTGTAAAGCGTGTATCTGCAGCAACGGGTTGTAGCAGCTATGTTTGCAGTGAAGGACAGTTTGTTATCTAGGATCACACCCAGATTTCTTGCAGTCTGAGTCGGGGAAACAATAGAGGTGCCGATGTTGATTGTTAGGTCAAGAGTGGGACAATCTTTTCCCGGAAGGAAGAGCAGCTCAGTCTTGTCAAGGTTGAGCTTGAGGTGATGAGCAGACATCCACTGAGAGATGTCAGCTAGACAAGCAGAGATGCGTGCAACGACCTGGGTCTCTGAGCGGGGAAAGGACAGAATTAATTGGGTGTCGTCAGCAGTGTTGTGCTAGTTACTGAAAACCAGTAACTAGTTACCATTACTAGTTACTTCATTTAAAAAGTAACTCAGTTACTTTACTAGTTACTTAAACCCAAAAGTAATGCGTTACTGTGAAAAGTAACGTTTTAGTTACTTGAAAAAAGGGATCCCATTAATGCCCTTATAGCCTTCATTTCAGTACCGTTATTGCATTGGAGAATAATACAATCTGTTGATCAACTTGACATGCATTATATGCAATCTGGATTGCATCGATATTAGCTGGCTTTCCATTTTTGTATATTCTTTCTCCAGGTAGTTGGAAAAAGTGTTCCGTCCCATATGCCGTGTGCCGCCCGGACATGCTATCATGCTAACTAGCTCCCTGAAAGCGGGTGACTCCACTGTAGCAATAGCCTGCATGTGTTCTAGAACTTCTACAACATACCGTGCAATGGCTTTATCGACTTTTCCCTGGCCAGCAGTCCCTTGGTTAAAATCCAGCCGCTGTTGCTTAGGTGGAGGTGGAGTGGCGTCGGCTGAGTCTCTGTGGTCTTGGCTACTAGCTTCGTCCCAGCATGTTGTTTTTGCAGATATTTTAAGAGATTTGAATGACTGGTTTGGGCAGTAGATAGGCTCTTTGACCCGCCAAGACACAACTTACATTTAACTAAAACGTTCTTTTCTTTGTGCTCGACAAAAGTGAAATAGTGAGAATATCTCCAGGTGGAGAAACTAGACTTGAGCTCCGCCGCCGCCATGATAGTCTTGTTAGTAAACAACACAAACACGCCCACAGCCCGTCTCCGCATGTGACACAGGAAGTATCAAAGTACATTTACTCAAGTACTGTACTTAAGTACAGTTCTCATCTCTGTTCGCCTGGCTGTTGACTATATAAAAAAAACTAACGGAGTAACGCACCATGTAGTAACGGTAACTGAGTTACTGAATTTAAAAAGTAATGCGTTAGAGTACTAGTTACTGTCAAAAATAACGGCGTTACAGTAACGCGTTACTTGTAACGCGTTAGTCCCAACACTGGTCGTCAGCGTAGCAGTGGTATGAAAAACCATGCGGGCTAATGACTGATCCGAGTGAGTTTGTGTACAGGGAGAAGAGGAGGGGACCAAGAACAGAGCCCTGAGGGACCCCTGTAGTTAATTGACAAGGGTGGGACTCAGACCCTCTCCAAGTCACCCTGTAGGTACGGTCTTTCAGATATGAGGTGAGGAGGGAAAGTGCAGAGCCTGAAACTCCAAGTTTTTGGAGAGTGCGAAGGAGGATCTGATGATTCACCGTGTCGAATGCAGCAGTACAGTAAATACCACAACTGTCTTGCCAACATAAACATTTACTATACATTATGACACACCTAAATGGTTCAGGTTCTTACACTACGTTTTTAGCCTATTGACGGGTGGCGCAGTGGTCTGTGCGTTTGATCATCAGATCAAGGGGGCGTTGGGGAACTCCAGTTCGAAACCCGCTCCCGCCCCACTGCGTCAGGCCGTTGTGTCCTTGGGCAAGACACTTCACCCGAATTTGCTCCTGTGGGTATTGTCCACAGTAGATGACCATTACATGTATGATCTGTATGTGTAATGTGTATTTGTAAAGCGCTTTGAGAGTCTTTGATAAAGCGCTATAATAAATATAAGGATTATTATTATTATTATTATTGCAAATAAAGTAATCAGGCTGAGTTTGGGAAGAGTGAGCACATTGCAGGTGCATGACGTTATTGAGCTGAAACACTGAGACTGTGGGCAGCCTGGGAAAAAGTCTGCGTTTAGTTGTCAGTGCTGCTGAAAAGATTTTGCTAAGGAGGTGATTTTCTGGGAAAAAGAGCATCTTGGTATTGTCTCTATGGCTGCCGGGCAGCGCGGAGGTGGAGAGGCATCTAACTGAAGTTGTCAGGTGGAGCAGA